TGGCAAATAAAGTCCTGCCACCAAGAGTCTTTCAGAGAGCAGCATCATTGTCCAGAATGGTTGTCCCTACAACATTTTTATTGTGCTAGTGCAAGGCTCATTGCACTTGTGTTTATAGATTTTCACTGTTAGTACAGGGGTGGTATTCAATACAGAATTTTCTTATGCGTGTGGTTGAGTGGTGGAATCATTTTGAACAACTGGTTGTGCAAAGGTGTAATCCAGGACAACTGTGCTAACAAGGATTTCCACTCTCCTAATGTTAAACTGGATATAGGTCTTGGTTTGTTTAAGGAAGACTTCCTATCTTCAGGTAATCACTGGTTTTACATTAAAACCAAAGGCTGGCACATGACAGAAGAACATGTGCAGATAGGCATTAAATTCACCAATGACTAGAACCCTGGGCAGGTTTCAGCCTAGTCAGTGGACTAGGTTTTATGACTTCTGTCATTCAGCCATTGATGAATTGCAAATGCCAGCATACCTTGCCATTGCAAATTATACTTTCCAGCATTTCACAGATGAAAGCTGGGACACATGTGGCTAAGCAACATCAGAATGTGTTCAAAAGGCAAACGCTGAGGAAATCATATAAGGATACAATCCAGCAGTTTGCTTATGCTTGATCCTACACAGAAGAGCAAGACTCTGCCCGCACCTCTGCCCCCCCCCCCCAAGTTAAGTGTGTGCAAACTACTTTTGCATTTTGAACTCAGTTTGCACCAACTGAAGTAAACTGAAAAGAAGGTCTGAGGAGGCCTGAGCAACTAGGGTATTTTAAAAGCAGCTGAAAAAGTGGGTTGACAGAGGATTGAGGACTATCCCTGCTAAATCAAAACAATTTGAGGGTATGGCCTATGCTGACAAAGACGGATGGGAGTTATATGTCCAACATTATTTGCAGGGCTCCACATTTCTTATTCTTCATTTAGCCATTCAGCCTACCTGTGTGAAGGCTAAATTGGGATGGAGCAAGGACACATACAGAGACCCAGTGTTGTGTAATGATTTGGATGTTGGACCAGAACTCTGGAGATCAGGGTTCAAATCCCTATTTGGCCATGAAAACCCACTGGGTGATCTTGAGCAAGTCACACTTTCTCAGACTCAGAGGAAGGCAAGGAAAAACCTGCTCTGATGAAATCTTGCCAACCCTATGATCAGTTTGCTTTAGAGTTGCGGTAAGTTGGAAACACGTTGAAGGCACAATACAAGGTTACACATACATGCTCCTCTGAGGCCTGAAGGGGACTTCTACTAATCTTTGTTTGAATGCATGTAGAAGCCTTCATGGCTGCATCTTCACTGGACAAATCATGCAGTTTGACACCACTTTAATTTCCATGACTCATTGCTATGGAATCCTGGGATTTTTAGTTTGTTGTGGCACCGTAGGTCTCTGACAAAGAAGGCTAAATAATACAAACCTAGAATTCTAGCATTGAGCCCTGGCAGTTAAAGTGGTGTCAAACTGCATTATTTCTGCAGTGTGGATATAGCCCATGTGATCAGGAGCCATGCTTTATCAGGGTTCCCAAATGGGCAGCTGTGTGAACTTCTGTGCAAGCATCTGTAAATAGAAGTTCCCTTAAGAACTTCCCTATTAAAGTGGGGGGCTGATAGGTTGGAGACAGGGAAGTTAGAACAGCTTTTGCATGCATGTCTTTTTCCAAATGTTTGCACCTATATAAGCTGGCTGAAGGCCTACACAGTTCCAGACCAGCATTTAAACTTGTTCTCTAGTTTTTTCTTCATATCCAAGAAGCAAACTGCAATTGTTTCTGTCTCATCAGAGCAAACTATGAGAAAGCCAGAGCTTGGAGACGTTTACTTTTAAAATTGTAACTTCTACAGTCCCCACCATCAGCATGGACACCACTATAGTCCTGGAAAGGAACTTTTTTTCCAAACTCTGTGAAAAACAAGCACTATCAGTAATTTGCCTTGTTCTCCTTTTTTAAAAAATGCATTGATGATTTTAATTTTACTTTCTTTTTATTGTCATGAGCAGGCACAATGATACAGACTGATGTCTGGAGACATTATCAAATGAACCAGGAATGAAAAGGAAACAGATTTTTAAAGTGGCCTTTTCTAATTGGATCTGTAGGCAGCTATCATTGTCAGTCTGCATCTCAGTTCTTCTTAATATGATCTAGGGAAATCAAAGAAACAATGTCTTGTATAGAATATTTGATGCATTTGAATGCTTCTCTGTGTGTGAAGTGTCGGAGGGGAAAAAACACCCCTGCCATCTGAGATTTCTCTGCAATCCTCACTGACTAACACTAAACAGCACTCCTCATTTTGCAATCTTGCTTGAAGGATAATCTTTATTTCATTGTATGCAAAGATAACATTTGCATGAGTGCTTTTGTGTAGCAAGATGTGCTAATTATTGAACAAACATACCAAGCAAGCTACACATTCCATTTGGCCCATCTGGTAGTGTGGGGACATTATGTGACAATCAAATGCAGCTTGAAAAAGTTACATTTTGGACTATAACAACCAGAATACCCTAGCCACATAGCCACATATGTTGGGGATCACAACTGGACAATTCCGTAGTGAGGAAATTACCCTTTCCTAAATATTTATCACTTTGCCTTACATACCACAAGTCATGGTCTGGCAATGGTATTTCTCTAATGTGGGGATGAGCCATTCCATTGTCCCCCTTTTTCAGCTGCTTTTAAAACATCCCAGATTCGTACTCCTTTTCCGAATTTCCCCCTTTGTCCTCAGCTTGCTACAATTGCTGCAAACAGAGTTTAATATGCAGATGTAGTTTGCATTTAGTTAGCTTAGCAGAGAGGAGAAGAAGGCAGCTGAGTCTTGCCCTTCCCAGTAGGAAAAGGCAAATACAACCTGCTGCAGCCTCTCTTGGCTTGTGTGTTCTTCCTCATTTATAATGTTCTCAGTCTTGAGCACACTGTGAAGCTGCTTGGCCACATGTCTCAGTTTTCATCCAATAAATGTTGGACAGTATGGATGCTTCTCCCCAAACACATACCAAAAAACCTACTATAACCCTCCATTTTGTAATTTTAATTTTTTGTTCATTTTTGTTGGCCTGCCTAGATTAACCCTTGATCCATTTTTCCTTAGCCCATTTAACCACTTCAATAATTGCAAACTTTATCAATGCTAAGGCAAGAGACATTCCCATGGCTAATAGGATAAGGTGTTCAGTAACTCATCTTTTCAGTACATGAGCCCTCTTCTGCACATTGTACCACGTTTCCACATGCTCGTGAAGTTAAGACCTTGGGTGGGCATTCACACTACTCCCAGACTACACACATACACAAACATACATTCAGTGTACACTGTTTAGAGAGTTTAGTGTGATCACTTCCAACAGTCATGCTCCTTCTATGCATGCATATATGATTGACATGTTCCTAATTGCTGCATGTTGAATTTAAGCATGAAGGGAACCTAGAACTGTATACAGATAGACATGTGAAGGACATCTCTATATGTATGAGAACTCTGGCCAAGGTTTCTATTTACATGGAGAAGCCTTACAGATATAACCCAGTGGGGATGGAGCATAGCTAGTGGAACATATTTGTTGTTGTCAACAGCCCTCAAGTTGACTGTGAGGCCAAACAGACTGCCAAAAAACAGTGGATTGGGGCTGCTGCGGAGCCGCATGTCATGGCAACGGCACACTGTAGCCCCAATCCAGGTATTTGCCAGCATAAAAAGAAGTGGCAGAAAACTGCTCCTTTTTGAGCTGGCAAAAAGCCAGCTTTTCTGCCATCACCGTGGCTTTGTGGTGCATGGGGTGTCTAAATGCCATGGCGTTGGAGCGCCTTAAAACTGTCACCAATGGCTAGTTGGGTTCACGGCGGCTTCCTACTAGCTTGGGGGCATGCGTCATCTAAACAACATGTCCCCCAAGCCGCCAGGAAGCCAGCTTTTTATGCTGGTCTGTTCTAACTGTGTGACTCATGGTAACCCTGTGGATGAGACATCTCCAAGATTCCATATCTTCCACTGCTTTGCTCAGGTCCTGCAGGCCCAGGCCCATATCCTCCCTGATTGAGTCTATCCATCTTGCATGTGGTCTTCTCTCTTTCTGCTACCCTCTACCTTTCCTAGCAACATTATCTTTTCTAATGATTCATTTTTCCTCATGATGTGGCCAAAGTACAACAGTCCCAATTTTGTCATCTTGGCTTCCAGGAAGAGTTCAGTCTTGATCGGTTCTAGAACTCATTTGTTTGTCTTCTTGGCCATCCATGGTATCCACAGTACTTTTCTCCAGCACCACATCTCACATAAGTTAATTTTCTTCCTGTCAACTTTCTTCACTGTCCAGTTCTCACATCCTTACATAGTGATGGTGAATAGAATGCCTTGGATGATCCTCACTTTAGTGTTCAGAGTTATGTCTTTACATTTTAAGATTTTGTCCAGTTCTTTCATACCTGCCTTCCCAGTCCTAGTCTTTTTCTAATTTCTTGACTGCAGTCCCCATTCAGAACAATATTTGAACCAAAGTATAGGAACTCTGACTATTTCAATTTTCTTATTCTCTAAGATGAATTCTTGTAGATCTTCAGAAGCAGAAAACACACTCTTACAGTCCTTAGCTGGTAGGATAGTAATCCACTGTGAATCCATGTCAGGTTTTAACTCAGACTTTAAAGGGGGCTATTCAAAGTGATGAATCTACTTTGGGGATAGGGTTCAGCATGGTGGATGCCTCACAAAAGCTGGGCATATTAGCCATCCCACTGACATTGGAGCTACCAATTTGTATTGCTCCTGGACCTCCTCCTCCTACCAGGCATATAAGATGTGGAGCTTGAATAAACCCTTCCTTTGATCATTTCCAACTATGGCTACTCGGTTTATCTAGAATTCTTGTTGTTG